GAGCTATCAAATCTGAAAATAAAGTTTATCTGGCAAATAAGAAACCGTGAATTAGGTATAAGGTATTGTGTAGGGCAAAAGGAAAATTAGGGTTTGGGTATGCCAAATGTTAAGAAATATTATCAAGCGGTGATATTATCACGAATAATAGATTGGATATTTAATTCACAAGGGAAAGGTTGGGTGAATATGGAAGGGATCCTGAGTAAGGCACAGTTAGGGAAGATTCACATTAGATGTGAATATTAGTCCACTGACAAAGAAAATTTTAAGAGTTTGGGATAAATGTATAAGCAAAAGGGATGGATATATAATTCAGTTATTTCCCCCCAGGGAAGGATAATATTTCTGGGAAATGGATTAAAGCTAAGAACGCATGTTTGAAAGATATACTGAATAAGGGGAAATTGCACACTTTTTATGACTTGAAAAAAAATTTGTATATCACATTAGATGCATTATGGTATGGCCAATTAGGTCATTTTGTTTCAATGCTCCCACAACCACTGAGGACATCGGAGGATCTGTACCCATTTGAAAAACTGTTGAATGTAACTATAGTTCCTAAATAGGGCACCTCCAGGATTCTTATGGATATGGAGGGTACTGATCTTCCTGAGTTTTTGGAAAATTGGGAACAGGAGATTGGAACAACATTGAACAAGCAACAAAAAACAATAAAATATTCTAATTAGCACATGAGGTGGCGAATATGAGCACAGTTGAAATTAATTACCAATGTTTGGCTAGATGGTATATTACACCAAGTAAGGCACATAAACTACAAGTAGATGTTTCACCTTTATGTTGGAGAGGATGTGGGGAAAAGAGAACAATGGTACACATATGGTGGGATTGCCTGAAAATCCAGGATTACTGGAAGGGAATATTACAATATATTCAGGAAATATGTGGGATTATTGTACAGAGAGACCCGTGGACAAATTTATTTTATAAATTTTAACCTTCAGTAAAAGTACATAAGAACAGGGTACTTGTAGTGTTCATTCATACCTGAAGCATAGTAAACTGTGGGTTTTTTTCAGGAAGGCCTGGCTGTATGGGGCCCCGTGGTTTCTAACAGCAGCCCTGTTAACCCAGTATGGACAGCCTGCTATTTTTTGAGTGATTGAAGAGACATTGAGAATCAATTTAAAACAAGATACAAATTAGTCTTTTTTTTTTAAACACAGATGATGGATGATGGAAATAGCATACAGCTTGCAAAACTGTTTGAACTGGGCATAATTTTGAAAAATTGAGTAGGCATTTAGCATCAGGAAATATACAGTTAAACTCAGCATTGATAAAGCATACAGCTTATCAACACAACCAACAAACTGGTTGGACAATTGTGTCACAATTTATGAAGAAGAGAGTAACCAGTTTGGCATTTGTCCCCTTAAAATGGGCTTCCTTTTTCAGAAAGTGAGGAAGGACACATTTTACAGGTTTATGCACACATTTAAACTTTTTCAGAATATCTACCATTTGAGAGAAAAGCAGATTTCACATTACAATAATTTTTTTTTTCCATGCACCAGATGTAAAAATTAAAATACTTGGCAGAATAGCTTGTATACCCTTTTTGGAGAGGCTGCTATCTCTGAGTACAGAGCGTGCAGATTTAACTTTAAATAATTAAATTAGACTGTGTTTATGCAGAGTTTTGATATAAATATTGTACCAATTTCAGACAATCATATCCTTTTTAACGCAGATTAAGGCATATTATTATTTTTCTGACACAGTCTAGAAATCATACCGATTTTCCTACAGAGCATAAATATTGCTCATCAGAGGCCATTCCAGAGGCAGAAAGCAGACAGGTACCATCTGTGAACGCAAAAATTTAATTTTATTCTCCCTGGGACAAATGAGAAATATATTTTGAGGTATTACTGCAAAGCATATTCAAGCCATAATTAAGGGGGGTAGGAGTAAGATTAGATTGGTTTTCATGGAAGGTGTCACAATTAGGCCACATTTATTTTATTTATTAGAAGTAGGTACTTATATAGCGCTGTCAATTTATGCAGTGCTTTACATATACATTGTACATTCACATCAATCCCTAACTCTCAAGAGGTGTATAATCTAAGGCCCTAACTTATATTCATGCATACACATACTAGGGCCAATTTAGACAGGATCCAATTAACCTACCAGCATGTCTTTGGAGTGTGGGAGGAAACTGGAGTACCTAGAGGAAACCCACGTAGGCACAGGGAGAACATGCAAAATCCAGGCAGGTGGTGCCATGGTTGGGATTTGAACCAAGGGCCCTAGTACTGCCAGGCAGAAGTGCTAACCATTTAGCCATTACCTTACTTTGAAAAGTATGTATTTCACAGCTTGGGAGCAGCATTAGGAAACATGATGTGTTCTGCATTATTAATGATGATTTTACCCACAAATTAATGGCCAATGCAGTATATACCTATGCCCAAAAATTGAACAATTTCTACCTCCATAAAGGAAGCTTTTATAAAATTAGGTCTTGTGTATTTTGTGTAGAGAAAAATAGAACAAGAAATTTCTAGACCCTGATCAATCATTGTATGTCATGTACCACCATCACAGAAAATATTAGGTGATGGGTGTTGGTGATGCCCAAACACTACAAAACCAACAGGAAACAATTCTGTAGACTGTCATAGCTGCGAAAAAAATGTGTTTTGGGTATCAGTGGTGGCCAAACATCTTAAGCCCACAGAAAAATTCCGGCAAAGCACAGGATGAACCCTGTTTTAACAAGCAATCATGTATGTACAACTGTTACATAGCAACAATGTAACCCACAAACAAAATCCTTCAGAACACAGGATGGACCCTTTTAAACAAATTTCATAGCATTTGCAACTGTGAAATAGCTGCTTAAAATTGTGGATGCCAAATTAAAATTGCTGTTGCAAATTAGAGCAGCCATTCTCCCAATTTTAGATGGTAATGGTAGCCTGCAATGGTGAAAGGCGTAAAAAAATGCAGTGTGGCAAAATCCCCCAAATATTTATTCAGATATGTCTGCAGCAGGGCTTGGTAGATGCTGCTGATCCAAGACTGATTAGTGTTTATGAATGTCAGCCAGTCAAAAGTGTCCGTGGACAAACACACACTTTTGTCTATCACAAAGCCACTTGCTGCACTGAATGAACATCGAGAACACACTGCCTGCAGGGCAGCCCAGAAGCTTAGTTGCATAATGGGAGAGCTGATATCATCACCAGCAGATTTTAGGAAATGGGGTGACTGACGTATTCCAGCAGTGTGCCCTGCCCTGCATCCTAACGGGTTGCCAGCAAAGTCAACTAGTGGGTCATAAATGATATATGGTACCCTTGCTTTTACTTGCTGGACCACATGTCTCATAAGGTCATGTGGACCTTGCTGCCAATAACATAATCCAGCAATGTGGAAATATTGCCTTTCATGTGATGGTGGAGGCAGGGATGTCCTTAGGGGCAAATAAATGGTGTCAGGGAATCTGCCACTGTGATATAGCACAGGCTGCAAAACTATGAAAGAGGGCAGAATACAACAGCTGGAAAGGAAAGAATTGTAAACCCAGCAATATGGTTAAGCTGGCTATTAGATGCTGGGCACTGGGGCAGCTGTGGATGTATTTTTCTGCACTCTAGCAGCTGGGGTAGCAAAGCTTGTTTGCTCAATGCTACAGCTGGTGGGATGGGGTTGGCAGAATTAAAGAAAGGTTGCAGCCTATGCTTGCCCCCACTCTGATGGCCCCATGCAGATACTCCCCCCCCCCCCTTTCCCCCAGAGGAGACATAGGGTATACTTTTGACACTTCCTTGATATACTCTCATCTCTGTCACTGGAGGATGCTGAGAGGGAATCATGTATACTGGGGGCAGAGGTGGAAACGTAGGAGCTGAAAGGAGGAGGAGGATTGTGGTCCTTTTCCTAATGAAGAGCATGATGAGAGGTCAGATGTCTCTTCATGCACGTGGTACCCAAATGGCCACGCTTGATATGCTGGAAACAGCGACTGCAAATAATAACAGAGAGGTCTGCTGCACGTTTTAAAAATCCCACACAGGTGGGTTCTGGGGAGAACAGTGTCCTTCACCTGTGAAGCCCTGGCATCATGGTGGAACAGGCTGGCTTAGGGGCGGACTGACAACTCATGGGGCCCCCAGGCAATAGGGGATCATGGGGCCCCTGTGTCCTTGCCCAAACTCAAAAAAGCCTATGAAAAATGTACCAGGGGCATCTCATGGGGCCCCCTACTGACCCTGGGCACTCGGGCAGTGTCCAAGTTTCCAAATGGTCAGTCCGCCCCTGGGGTGGCTTCTTCCTCCTCTGTGAGCTGCCCCTAGGTGATATCCTACCTCACTAGAGTTGAGACATGTGAGCTATAGTTAATTATTCCTTTCTATCCTATGAATTGTAAACTAGGCCAATTTACTGCAGTTAGTACAGGTGCTTGCCACCTAGTGAATATACATTATTATTACAGATCCCTTTATCATGAGATCAGCTGGGCCCAATCTCAGCTGATCACATGTAAACAGACGTGCTAGTTACTGGCAGTCTTTTCCTCACACACGGTGTCTGTGTGAGAAAAGGACAGCCGACATCCGGCAAGGCTGTAAGACTGATAATCAGCAAAGAAGAAAAATTACTTATTTGCTAAATTTTCTAACAGGAAAGGAAGAACACATTTTTCCCTCAAATTTTCGGTCTTTCTTTGTTTGCTTAGCAAAAAATAAAACCCCAGTGGTTAATAGATACCACCAAAAGAAAGCTCTATCTGTCTCAAAAAAAATTATAAAAATTTCATTTGGGTACAGCATTTCATGACTGAATTGTCATTCAAAATGTGACAGTACTTGCAGCTGAAAATTGGCCTGGGCACAAGGGATTGAAAATGGTTAATGGTGCAGTACCTACAAGGTCTTGGACTTCCTGTAAAGCGGTCACTCTTGTAGGACTGGATATAAGCCACTTTTTACAATCCAAATATATTCATTATGAGTGTAATGGGCGGACTGACCATTTGGAAACTGGGGCACTGCCCAAGGGCCCAGGGTCAGTAGGGGGCCCCATGAGATGCCCCTGGTACCTTTTTCATAGGCTTTTTTGAGTTTGGGCAAAGACACAGGGGCCCCATTATCCCCTATTGCCCGGGGGCCCCATGAGTTGTCAGTCTGCCCCTGGAGTGTAATATTATTGGACTTACTGTAGCCGTATTAGTGCTCATGCAACAGAAACAATTGAGTACTGTCTGTGATACTTTTTTATTTGCACTAACATACAATTTTCATGACAAGGTTTCAGGGTATGTTCCCTTCTTCAAGGTCCAATCAGTATTAATACACAATGTTTTACCAGAATGTTAAAAAAAAAGACAATCTGAGTTAAAAAAAAAAACCACACACAAACAAATGTACACAGCAATTTGGTAATAAAACTAGGATAGTTATTGAGATAAGACAGATGGACAAACTAATAAGTAGAAAACTTCATTCTGATTATGAAGTTGCAAATAATAGAAGCAAACCCTGCAAACTGTGCAACCAAATCAATCAAATAATGTCACATACAAATGGGGCATTCAATATGAACGGATCATACAGCTGCACCTCCAGTAATGTTGTGTACCTCATCCAATGCAAAAGATGTAGCAACGGATATTACATTGGCGAAACAGGGCAAAAGTTGTGAACAAGGATGAATTTGCACAGAAACACCATCAAGGAACACAAAGAAGATGAGCTCTGCACACCTGTGGGACTTAATTTCTCACAATTGGACCACACTATGGAAGACCTCACTGCCTTAGTTCTTAAAGGGAATTTCAAAACTATTCAGGAAATACATTTTTTTGAACTAAGAATGATAGTTCTATTTGACACAAAAGATAGTGGCCTAAATTTAGACTTAAGTCTTCTTTCTCATTATCCAACAGTTTTACAATGCCATCTGTGACTGTTATCCTTCCCCCAGTCTTTAGTTCTTAGTCTGTCTTATCTCACTAACTTTCCTAATTTTATTACCATTGCTGTGTACATTTGTTTGTGTGTGTGTTTTTTTTTTTTTTTTGTTAACTCAGATTGTCTTTTTTTTTTTAACATTCTGCTAAAACTTTGTGTATTAGTATTGATTGGACCTTGAAGAAGGGAACTTACCCAAAATCTTTACCTGAAAAAATGTGTTAGTGTAAATAAAAAAAAGTATCATGGACAGTAGTCATATGATTGGAGTAAAACCCTAAAAATGATGCTAATGTTATGGGATTCAGTCATTTTATATTTTTTTTTTTTTTGCCGAAATAGAGCCAGATAAGCCTTTCTTGATTGCCACTGTTCTGTTCCTCTTTCTATCTCAGTGCCTACCTCAGGAGTTCCCTACATAATTGCCATGGTTACACGCCTGATGTTTAGATCATTTAATAACTACAATAATTAACATACTGCAAACTAATATGTATATGTTATAGTGCATTCTTTTTCATATTCGGTTATCTCTGCGATTATCCTAATTGCATCCTGAGGAAAAGAATTGGGAAACGTGTTGACCTAAGAGAATTTATCTCCATTGCACATTAAATTCTGTAATATTTCAGAAGAAAGTTTATTAAGCATTTTTTTTATTTGGTTGATAAATAGCAGTGGGTTCACAACCTACATCAACATAGAACGTTGTACAGACAATAGAGTTTATCTACTGTATGTAATGATTTTATATGTGCTTTTATGAATTTTATGAAATAAAATTTGACAATGATTTTATAATAGTGCATGTTCTTCTCTGTTCCAGTAAATTTTGAAGTAGCTGTGGATGAGAAGGCAGAATGGGGTGCTTTGGCATCTGCGGTGGACTGTGAGCTAGGAAGAGAAAGGCTTGTTTAACCACGTCACATGCTCTGGCCTACAGCACACCCAGAAAAAAAAAAAAAAAAAAGTAAATCCTTCTTGCGGATGATGTACCACATCCACCACTTTGCTTGCCCCCTTGTAGCTGCAAGTTAAAGTGGAGCTCCACCCAAAAAGGGGAAGTTTCGCTTTAAGTACTGGTCCTCTGCTCCCCGTGAGGAATTGGCACCTTTGGGAATTTTGACAGGTATCCACTCCCACTTTTGCTGCGATCACCTAGGCGATTGTAAGAGGAAGTTGTCCCCCCCCCCCGTAGTCTTCTGCTACACAGTGACAGGTCCCAGAACACTGGTGTAGCTATACACATGCATTCTCAGTGGGCACCCGGCTGTGAAGCCGCAAGCTGTCACAGCCGGGTGCCCACAGTTAACATGTGGGCACCAGAGAACGAGGACAGCCAGTGAAACTGGCTGCAGTGAGTACCTGCTGAATTGTTGGACAGGTGAGTGGATGCTTTTTAAAAGTCAGCAGCTACAGCTTTAGTAGCTGCTGACTTTTATTCATTTTTTTATTTTTAACTGGAGCTCAGCTTTAACTTCTGCCTCTCCTTGTAGGTCTGCCAGGTATGGGGCAGGGAAAGTGGTGCTTGGGTTGACTAAACAGCACCTCATAAATGTGCAGTGCTCCACTGCAAAAGAACAACTGTTATGGTGACTTTAACAGATTCATGTTGCTGTTACCCCAAACACACACACCCAGAAACACTACAAGCAAAAAAAAAAAAAAAAAAAAAAAAACAAAAAAAAAAAAACACCTTTTCCAACTTTTTTCTTTAACCAGCTGCCGACCGCAGATAGCTGAATGATGGCTTCACTGCGGCCGGCCAGTTCTGAGTGGACGTCATATGACGTCCTCCCAGAACGCGCTCTCCTGCGCGCCCCAGGGGGCGCGCACCCGGCGATCTCCGTGATCGCTGTGTCCTACGGACACAGCTGATCACGTGATGTGGTAAAAGGCCAATCACAGCGGCCTTTTACCACGTGATCAGCGGTGTCCAATGACACGCTGATCAGAGGGAAATGCAAGTGCCGGTTCTCGGCTGCACTTTCCTCACGCTGTCAGATCGTGAGGAAAGTACTGCCGAGAACCGGCAGTTGTCAGAGCGGGGATCGGCACCGATCATCAGGGCACTGATGATCAGGGCCCTGATGATCGGTGCCCAGCAGTGCCACCCGCAAGTTCCGCCCAGCAGTGCGCCCACTAGCTCCGCCCACCCGTGCCCATCAGTGCACCCACCTGTGCCCAGCAGTGCACCCACCTGTGCCACTCTGCAGTGCCACCTACCTGTGCCCAGAAGTGCCACCTACATATGCCCAGCAGTGCCACCAACCTGTGCCCACCAGTGCCACCCACCTGTGCCCACCCACCAGTGCTGCCCACCAGTGCCACCCACCAGTGCAGCCCAGCAGTGCTGCCAGTCAGTGCCCAGGGGTTGTGCCAGTCAGTGCCCAGCAGTGATGCCAGTCAATGCCGTCTATCAGTACCCATCATCAGTGTCACCTATCAGTGCCACCTGTCAGTGCTGCATATTAGTGCCGCCTATCCGTGACCCCTAATTAGTGCTGTCTATCAGTGCTGCCTATCCGTGCCACCTCATTAGTACTGCCTATCAGTGCCCTTTAGTGCTGCCTATCAGTGCCCATCAGTGCCGCCTATCAGTGCCCATCAGTGCTGCCTCATCAACGCACATCAGTGAAGGAGAAAAAATACCTAATTAGATATATATCCTCCTTATACCCTCAAAAAGTTAATACTTTCCATCCTAGAAAGTGTTAAATATATAAAAAAACCTTTTTGTGATGCAATAAATCCCAAATTAAATTCAAAATCCTAAATATACCAAATAATAAAATACACCAAATCAAAAATAGTCCAATGTGAAATCCAAAAATATGTCCAAAATATGTCCAAAATAAATCCAATACAGTGTCCAAATTTCAATTTCAATCTTTTTTTCTCCAATCTGTGAAAATTATTCCTCCAAACAGGTACCTCGAAAAATAAAAATAAACAATCTAGTGCAATTCAATTAATTAAAGAAAATCACCCCGTGAAACTCCACACTTCACTGCAAAAATTGTTATCAATTTGTGAAAAAAAAAAAAAAAAATATATATATATTTAAATTAAATTATACCAATCTTATTTTGTAATAGTGCAAAACCACATCAATCCAAAGTGTACACACTCTGTGATCACTGCTACACAGTGAATACCTTCAACCACCACACAATAGTACCAAATACTATTACCCTCTGTGCATGTTATGAAAGCTCTACCAACATTATGGGTCAGTACTCCTCCAAAGATCTTCTTTAAGAATATTTTCCAGGTCCTCAGAAAAATAAATGGTCTTAGGAGCAATATTCAAAACATAGGGATAACATTTATTAGTAACTCACACTTAAAATTCTGATTATCAGCTCCAGCCATGGTTTCTGTCTGCTAAACAAACATTTCCTCCACCATGTGTTTTGATAACCTAAAAAATGGCCACGGCGACACTTCCGGTCTGCGTACGTGCGTCCTGACGTCACTCCTTTAACGCGTTTCGTCACTTCCGGACTTCATCTGAAAGGATGAAGTCCGGAAGTGACGAAACGCGTTAAAGGAGTGACGTCAGGACGCACGTACGCAGACCGGAAGTGTCGCCGCGGCCATCAAATCAGGTATTCCAGCCCAGGATGATTGGACTACATTCCACAGTTCTTCTCTATTTCTTGGTTTTGCCTCAGAAACTGCATTTTTGATGTCACCCCACAAGTTTTCTATTGGATTAAGATCCGGGGATTGGGCTGGTCACTCCATAACGTCAATCTTGTTGGTCTGAACCAAGATGTTGCACGTTTACTGGTGTGTTTGGGGTCGTTGTCTTGTTGGAACACCCATTTCAAGGGCATTTACTCTTCAGCATAAGGCAGCATGTCCTCTTCAAGTATTCTGATGTATTCAAACTGATCCATGATCCCTGGTAAGCGATAAATAGGCCCAACACCGTAGTATGGGAAACATCCCCATATCATGATGCTTGCGCAACCATGCTTCACTGTCTTCACAGTGTACTGTGGCTTGAATTCAGTGTTTGGGGGTCGTCTGACAAACTGTTCTTTTTGGGTCTAGTGGCCAGAGACAATCTTACTTTCATCAGTCCACAAAATGTTGCGCCATTTCTCTTTAGGCCAGTCAATGTGCTCTTTGGCAAATTGTAACCTCTTCAGCACGTCTTTTTTTCAACAGTGGGACTTTGTGGGGGCTTCTTGCAAATAGCTTGGCTTCACATAAGCGTCTTCTAATTGTAACCGTACTCACAGGTAACTTCAGACCTTCTTTGATCTTCCTTGAGCTGATTGTTGGCTGAGTCCTTGCCATTTTGGCTATTCTTCTATCCATTCGAATGTTAGTTTTTCACTTTCTTGCACGTCTTTCAGGTCTTGGTTGCCATTTTAAAGCATTTGCGATCATTTTAGCTGAGCAGCCTATCATTTTCTGCACTTCTTTATATGTTTTCCCCTCTCCAATCAAGTTTTTAATCAAGGTACGCTGTTCTTCTGAACAATGTCTGGAACGACCCATTTTCCTCAGAATTTCAGAGAGAAATGCACTGTAACCAGCATGTACAACATTTGCTGCCTTCCTTCCTTAAATAAGGGCAATAATTGCCACCTGTTTTTCAAAGAATGAATGACCTCACTAATAGAACTCCACATTGCTATTATTTTGAACATGCCCCTTTCAATTAGTGATTCAATTACACAGAATCAGCAGCATGCATGTCATGACTGTTGGGTCTGTTGGATTTCTATTACTCTACAACACCTGCTAGTAAATTATTTGCCATGTAGAAATATCATTTCTACCAAAAACAGTGATTGATCAGTTAGTGATGTCTGACTGCTATTATTTTGAACACAACTGTATACACACACACACACACACACATACATACAAACACAGAGTTAGGTCCATATATATTTGGACACAGGCACAATGTCCATACTTTTGGCTCTGTATTCCACCGGAATTAATTAAAACGAAACAATCCAAATGAATTTGAAGTTCAGACTTTCAGCTTTAATTCAAGGGGTTGAACATAAATATCAAGTACAAGTTTTAGGAACTGCAACCATTTTTATACACAGTCCCTCTATTTTCAGGGGCTCAAATGTAGTTTGAACATTTTATTTATGATTATATTAATTTGTCCATTTTAATATTTTGTTGAGAATCCTTTACTGGCAATGACTGCCTGAAGTCTGGAACCCATGGACATTACCAAAGACTGGGTTTCTTCTTTTCTGATGCTTTGTCGGGCTCTTACTGCAGCTGTCTTCAGTTGTTCTTTGTGGGTCTTTCGGTCTTGAGCCTGCATTTCACTTGTTGAAGGCAAAACTAAACTGGGTTGAGATCACGTGATTGTGTTTTGGATCATTGTCCATCTGTACGGTGAAGAGCTGTCCAAACAACTTTGCTGCTTATGTCTGAATCTGGGCTGACGGTATATCTCTAAACACTGCAAAATTCATACGGCTGCTTCTGTCACATCATCAATAAACAGCAATGACCCAGTGCCACTGGAAGCCATGCATGCCCATGCAATCACACTGCCTCCACCATGTTTTACATATCATGAGCTATTCCAAGCCTTTACCACACTTTATTTCATCCGTCCAAAGAATGCTTTTCCAGAACTGGTCTGGCATTTTTAGGTGTTTTTTTGGCAAAGTCTAATCTGGCTTTTCTACTCTTCAGGCTTATGAATGGTTTGCACCTTGTGGTGAATCCTCTGTATGTGCTCTCGTGAAGTCTTCTCTTGATTGTAGACTTTGACAATGATACGCCCACCTCCTGAAGAGTGTCCTTCACTTGTCTGTATGGTGTGAATGGGTTTTTCTTTACCATAGAGAGGATCCTGCAATCATCCACCACTGTTGTCTTCTGAGGACGTCCATGCCTTTTTATGTTGCTGAGCTCACCAGTGCGTTCTTCTTTCCTCAGAATGTACCAAAATGTTGATTTGGCCACTCCTAATGTTGCCGCTATCTCTCTGATGGATTTGTTTTGTTTTTTGAAATCTTACAATGGCCTGTTTAATTTGCATGGACAGCTCCTTTGAACGCATGATGTAGGTTCACAGCAATAGATTCCAAATGCAATTAGCACACTTAGAAGCAACTCCATACCTTTTACCTGCTTAATTGATGAAGAAATAACAAAGGAGTAACCCACACCTGGCCATGAAACAGCTTTTGCGTCAACTGTACAATGACTTTTGGTCCCAAACCAGCCTCAGTGTCTTTCTGGGTTAAGAAACCACGTTTTCCAATTTTCAAAAAGATCCCTTCAGAAGAAGTCCAGAAGTGACGAAACGCGTCAGTGGATGTGACGTCTGACGTATTCACGCAAAACCGGAAGTGTTGCCGTGGCCATTTTGAAAAATGGAAAACGTGGTTTCTTAACCCAGAAAGACACTGAGGCTGGGTTGTTTGGCACATAGCTGAATTTTAATTACCCCAATGTAAGATACTTTATTAAATTATCTTTATACTTGGAAATACATACTACATAAGTCTCCTTTTGCTTTATGAGGAATATGGAGGATTGGCAACTGAAGTAAATGAAAGCTTGGAAGTGGTTGCTATATTTACCAAGAATATCCAGATAAGCTTGTGGTTACTCCGAGGGTAATAGTATTTAATCTCAATATTTGGAGGTGGTCACGGAGTGTTCACTATACGAATTGAAGTGCTCACTTATACATTTGATTCAGTTTCACTTCATTTATTGAATTTAGATGTTCATTTATTATTATATCATCATATTGTAATTATTTGAGGTTTTTTTTTTTTTTTGCAATAGTGTCACTTGATTTTCACTTATTGTTGAATGTTCACGGAATGATTTTTGCATGATTCACGTTATTCACAGTTGAATCTGTTTTCATTTTGGTGCACTTATTCATTGTTTGCACTGCTACAATATTTACACACGATTAAGGTATTTATTGTTTTGGTATTTAGAAGGTAATACACTATTGTAGTTTATATTTTTTTCAAGGTATCACAAGGATTGGAATAGGAATTGGAAGTTCAACACACTGGATTAATACGATTAATACATTTTTGGTGGACTACTGATTGTTTGGACTTTTGTTACATTTGGACATTTATTTTCTATTATTATTATTTATTATTGATTTGGGATATTTTGAGTATCCATTTGATGTGGTTGGAATAGGATAAATTAGATTATTTGTAATTCATATTTGGATTTTGGGAGACAGGTGAAGGAAAGGTTTAATATTATTGTATTTACTTTCAAGGGTAAAAGTGTCACTTTTCTTTATGGGGTGATTGTGGGGGTATTTCACTTATTTAAGGTTTACCGAGGTATTATTACTATCTATCTATATATATATATATATATATATATATATATATATACATACACACACACACATATACATATATATATACATACATACACACACACACACACACACACACACACCTATCTATCTATCTATCACACACATACGGTGGGGCAAAAAAGTATTTAGTCAGCCACCAATTGTGCAAGCTCTCCCACTTAAAAAGATGAGAGAGGCCTGTGATTGGCATCATAGGTAGACCTCAACTATGAGAGACAAAATGAGAAAGAAAGCCTGTAATTGGCATCATAGGTAGACCTCAA